CCACCCACATCCTGCGCTTACTTTTCAGTCACATTTTTTTTTTATTTTAAAAGCATGTTTCGAAATATCATTGTATGTGCTTATAGATCTTACAGAGTATTAATCCATCTCAATTCTAGCGTTATTCTTGGGCCATCATTTACACGCAAGGCTGCATTCTGCAGAGGAAACCCTAGGAGAAGCTCAGAATCAAGGGTTTTCTCTTCTTGTTACTGAACGTTGGAGTTGGGGCCAAAAGGTGCTGTGGCAGGGAGGATTCACCCCCCACAATACTGCCTTCTTTCTCAACAGAGGCTAAACTGAGGCTGAAACAGCCTCTGTTCAGGGATTTTCTCTGTTTAGGAATTATTTGCTTATGTTTCTTTAATATTCATTTAAATTATGAATTATATGCTTACAATTCTTTGCTTATGTCCCAAACAAAATCTGGTGCTGTCCCCAAAGTTTAGAGCATTACTTTTGTGGATACTGCTCCATTACATTTGTGGATTATAACTAGGCAATGCATGGGAGCCCTGTAGGCACTGTTTTCCTCTTTTCAGTGGTGAACAGAGCAGAGCATTTTTCACATGCTGAAGCCCTGTTCTACAGACATTACTTTTAAAAATTGTCCGAACAGCATGAAAAGGAGTTGGGAGTGCCAGATGTTGAACCTTTTAGAAGTCGTGTTTGTTTCCTTTGACACTTCGGTTACAGGAAGAGAGCTTCCCTCCATCCTAAGGGCTTGTTCAGGTAAATGTGGGCTTTTTTTTTAACAGTTAGGAGCAGTTAGCTGCTTGAAATTGGTTTGTTATGCATTATTTTGATGAAATGATAAAATTCAAACATGGTTAAATGAGTTTAATTGGAACCCTTTAAGTTATGTGAGTATCTTGAAAACAAATTAGAAGATGTAATTACAGTCACAGACTGCATATTGGCAGTTTCCTGGCCTTTCTGTTCATGGTTTGTTCCCTATCACTGTGTTTCCAACCCATAGCTATGGCAGCTTTATCAGGACTCATGTTGCAAATTGTTTTATGTACCCTTCTTTCAGACAGCCCTTTCAAATGGAGGCATCTCGATGTTCTTGCTTGTCTTGTCTTAAACAACTTAGCCAAACCAGGGGAGAGCCAAGGCCTTCAGATGACAGAGAAATTAAACCTTGTTATTACTGATGAATTTCCCGAGGATGAAGAGAGCGCTTAAATGTGTTTGATTCCTAAATCCCATCTCCACATTTTTAAAAGGTGGATGTTAATTTATATTAACATATTGTTGAATTTGTTCAATTATATGATGGCTAATCCTTAACTGAGAGTTGGAAGACCAGGCTTACGGTAGAGCTGAATGAAGAATTTGTTGCCTTTCTTGGGTCCGTTAATGGTTCCTTTGTTTTAGGGTAAGATACCCCCGTGTGAACTGACATTTCTTGTCTTCATGTGCGGACCTAACTCCACGTTTTTATCAGGCTCCAAGCAGCTGAAGGATTTCCCACCATAATGGATATTTTTATTTCTTCTTTTTCCTTTCGAAGGAAATGGGAACAGCCCAGAGAGAGGCAGGCTGCAATGGGGCCTTTGTCTGAAAGGCAGTGGTGGCCACATGTGCAAACCCAGCACGTCCCATCGGGCTGTCCCAGCGCGGGGCTCTGGGTTTCCTTGGAAGGTCCCCTCTGCCTGCTGGCAGTGCTCAGCCCTTCCGTTTGTTTAAGTTCTTTAAGCTCGTGACAAAACAAAACAAAGCAAAAAACTGTTTCGTAGAAGTGGAGCTGTTCAAACAAACCCTGGCTTTGTATTCCCTGCTTATCTGAAGTGCTCTTTTCCCCTAGGGCTCCGTGCTCTTTTTAACCTGTGATTCCCAGAGCCCTGTCAAAGGAGCGGACTGTCTGGTGCCTTCTGCTGCTTTCCAAGGATTGCTCCTTTTCAGTCCGCTTTTCCAAGGCTCTTGGAATAACATTCGGATGAAATGATGCATCCGTGTTTTCCAAAAGTGGCGTCATAGCTGAATGTTGTCCCTTCTCCTGACTACCTAAGGAAGAATCACAATTCATGTGCATGTGCACGTTCGACCCACTTAAAGTTATCAAATATTTTATTTTAGAGTGTTTCAGTCTTAGGCTTTTTTGAAAAAGTCCTGGATTACTCATTATGAGTTTGGCATTTGATATCCTCAAGTATTTGGCTGAGCTCAGAGATCAAATTCTGGTTGCTCTTACTTGGCGGCGTCTAACTCACCATTTTTTAAAGTCAGGTAAAGGTACCTGTCATTCTCATTTAAAATTCACTTCCTGTACATTAGGCTAGGTCCTCAAGAGATGTAAGCTGATATCTCTGTATACATCTAAAATCACACTTATAGTGATTTGTGTTGTCTGAGAATGTGGCCAGCTTGTAATTTCTATTTATTTATATATAAATGCTGAGAACCTAAACATTCCTGCAGCATTTACCTCTTATTTGACCTTTCAGTAGCATTTTTTCGCACTTGTTAGCCAAATAACTTGTTAGTTGTGTGACAGGGACATGAACAAACTCTATTTTGTTGGTATTTTCCTATGCGGGATTTTTAGCACAAACTTTGCTTGAAAGCAGCTATTTCAAGGTACCCATTCTTTACTCAGGGCACTCCTTCAGGAGAGGACTGCCTGAGCGGTACCCCGTGCAGGAGAGATGCTCGAGCGACTGCCTTATAGGAACAGGAGCTCAAAACAAATTAATTTGTCTTGATGGAATTAGTGAATGTGTTGGTAGGGTCTAGAAGCCAGATTTTTCACCTCATTGTCTCAAGATTGGGGGATGGGAAGGGGAGCAAATTTGCCAAACAGGTGCCTTGCAGCAGAGGGATTCCTCGCTGATGCTAATTCCCTTTGCCTGTTTCACTGCCCTTCCCTGAGGCACCAAACTGCTATCTCCTTAGCACTGTGAGTACCTCTATCATCGTGGGATGTGACTTTAGTACAAAAACAGCTATGTTTCTGTGTTAGCTTTCAGCCGTGCTCAGACGGTTCTTTACAAGTACCTACATTCCTTTATATGTTTAAGCACTGTAGTAAAACTGCTCGTTGTGGATGCACAGGAGGCCTTTAAAATAAAGCCCTTCGTTTCTTCCAGACAGCTAGGGTCAAAATTCTTTTATTCTCCACTGAAGTTACAGCTGTTTGGTAAAACCATCTTCTGTACCCTCAGAAAAAGTCACCGAAGGGTGAGGCTTGCACTGCAGTGCACAGTATTGTGCAGGCTGCTAGGCCTGTTAGCACTAACTTGCAGTGCTACATCTTGAAGTGCTTTGAAACAGTTTATTACAAAACTAAAATATGAGATAAGCTGGTAAAAAAAAAAATACTAAATATGCATCTGCAGAATCAAGTGGGAAAAAAAGAAAAAACATTTTTGGTTGTTTACACTGGTGTGGAGACCTATCAGTTGATTAGGCAGATATGTTCCAAATGCCGTCAATGTGAAGTGCCGGCGCTCTGCTCCGAGCCCATCTGATTGCTCCGTTTCTTCATCCCTCTTCTCGCTCCAAGTGAATTACACAGCTCCCTCGGCACTCCTGCCGCTGCTAGGCCTCCCGCTTCGTCGTCTCGCAACACGCAGCATTCGTGCGCTTTTCCCAACGCCGACCTTTTCTACTCTTAGTAATAGCAGTAGGCTGTGGTCTCAGGAGGTGACACCAGTTGGCGTGATCAACACAAGGTTCTCCGATCATAAGTGTTACGTAGCGTTTCCCATTTTTACTACAAATAAGCCAAGCAGTACCCACCCAACAAAATGCCAGAATTGCTGCAAAGTCTAGCTTTTTCCTTATCTATTGTGATAGCTAGGCTCGTCTCTTCAAGAGTATCAAATGGATACTGTGTGGTATTCCTCCAGAAATCTTGTACTTCTCCAAGACTGACCTTATTTTGCACTAGGCAAGAACCTCTGGTACTTTTTGTTTGCTTTTATGTCATGAAAAGGTTGACAATTTGGCCAGATTATCGTTGGTTACAAAATACTGTATCATATTTTTAGAAAGTGCTGCACCATGCTATAATTGTTTGTATCTCCAAGTTAAGAAATATTTTTCATTCAATGTTGATATTTTTCATGTTTCCTCTGATAATTTACATAAATATGTAAAATGATGTAAAATGGGTAAAAGTGTAAGTACTGGATGGCACAGAGTAAGTTAAATCATCTTATAATTAGAAATTTGTCTCTGAAACCATTTGAATAAATTATCATCATAGTTTAGTTATCTTCACAGATAGTTAAACAGATGAGTTTATTTTAGCTGAGATAAAAGAAGAAAATCTACACACTCACAACAAGAAAAGTATTTAGAGAACAGCCAAGGCACACAGTAAAATGGAAAATTTAGCATGTCTTTCAAGCAGCTATAGATGGTTATTGATCTTTTTCAGAAAGAACAGGCTGATTAAATATCCGCACAGAAGTGCGAATCAGAGATGCCATCAGGCTCTGTATGAGCATCTTGCTCTATAATGTAGTGAACCTAAATAGCCGAGGTTTCAAATATTCTTGGTGTGTTTGTCACGCAAGATACGCACGTGAACTGGGCAGGGGCTGCAAGGAGGGGAGGAGAAGTCATTTGGCAACAAGGCAATCGAGTGCGTGTGGTACAGGCAGTCACAGAATGACAGAATGGTTGAGGTCGGAAGGCACCTCTAGAGATCATCTAGTCCAACCCCCCTGCTCCAGCAGGGACACCTAGAGCATGTGGCACAGGGTGGCATCCAGGTGGGGTTTAAAGATCTCCAGAGAAGGAGACTCCACAGCCTCTCTGGGCGGCCTGTGCCAGGGCTCTGTCCCCCTCACAGTAAAGAAGTTCTTCCTCACATGGAGGTGGAACTTTCTGTGTTTCAACTTGTACCCGTTACCCCTCAGTCCTTCCTCAGATGTTAGAAGCAACCTTTTTCCCTTCCTCATCTAACACAGTGTGATATGTCATCAGATAATACTAAAAGCAATTGCAACTGAAGAGTCAGTAACAAATTTTTTCTGTTTTTCTTTCAGTTATTTGTCACCTTCCATGCATGAATGGAGGCCAGTGCAGTTCTAGAGATAAATGCCAGTGCCCTCCAAACTACACTGGGAAACTTTGTCAGATCCCTGTGCAGAATGGTAATACTCCAAAACTCTACCATCATCCGCAACAGCTGAACAAGGCCGTAGGATCACAAATCATCCACTCCACTCATACTTTACCACTGACGATGGCTGGGCAGCAAGGTGTAAAAGGTAAGTTTTTTTTCCTGATATTTTTTTCCTTTGAAGTTGGTTTTATTTTACTAATTTGGGGTAACCAACCAGTAAGGCAATGGCATCTGCCTACATAATTTAAATCTTGATACCTCAACTTCAATACAGAGCGCACCAGAATGGCCGGAAGATCTTTTTCTTGATGTTTGGAATAATAAGAAACACAGTGTTATTGGAAGAATTTATAAAGTAATTTTACTTCAGTTCACTGTGGAATTTAACGCAGATTTCAAAGTTAGTAAACTATAATGAAAGAAAGAGATGAGCCTACTTCAGCTTTCCATGCATACATTACTGTGAGGTAGCAAGGTCTGATGACCTTCAGGAAGCGTACTGTCTTTGGGTTTCTTCTGTGTCCTGTGACTCTTCAGGTAGCATTCTTTCAAGGTGAAATCCTGTCCTTACCAAGAGACGCTCACAATTTCAGAATTAAATTGTGATATAGTTTGAACTGTCAGAGTGATATATATAATTATTATTATTATTATTATTGTCATTGGTAAACTTACAGTCAGGTTTTCTGTCTTACTACCTCTTGGGTGAGGATGTGAGGAGACTCATTTGTTTGTAGCTAGATCTTGAATAACTTTGCTGAAAAGAATCCAGGCTGTTTATACATTTGTGATAAATACAATCTAATGTAAGTAATAATTGGGTTTTCAGAAAGGGACGTAACTGTGAAGGAGGCGTTGACAGAATCCTCTTGGAAACATAATTTATAAATGCTTCTAAGTATCCACTCCGTTTTTACAATGGATTTATTCTCTATGGGCTGCTGTATAATCCAATGGGAAATAGCTTCCACTGACCTATGGGCTCATGGTTCCTAGAACTCCCCAGAAGTCTTCTTTCTGAAAGAAGGAGGCGGGGGGGAAGCAGGGGCTGGGGAGAGAATATAGTTATGTAACGATTTAGCGGAGCTGAAGTTTCTTCAGTGAATACTTAAATACAGGTCTAATTATTACAGACAAAATGATGGATCCCAAGGATTTTCTTTACAGCCGTAGTTGTTCTTCAGATTTAGGGTCACTGTACTAAAATGCAGGTTTCTCATTGCTAGAGATTTTTAGATTTTTTTTCCTGCCTGTTTAGAAGGGAACGCTTTATCAGAGCCGTCAACAATCCCAGTGGCTTTTCTTCCCTTTCTACATCAAATGAGAATGTTGGGTTGTGAAGAGATGAATATGTCATTTCTTTCAAAGGCAGGATGAACCATCATCCTGAAAAGGCTGGCAGAAATCAAAATTGATCAGTGCATTGGGACATCAGTCCAAGACCTGTGGAACAGATTGTGGTGATAATACTAGATAGGAGGAACCAGACTAGATATGATAGTGGCTCAAAATCTGAACATCTGAACATTGGTAGATATTGTCAGAGCCACTCAGTGATGGTAATACAGCCTTCAAGATACATCACCTGCAGAAGATAGTCTGAGGGGGTCCTTTTTCACACATAAAATTATATATAACAGTGGATGGCATGAGTTTTGTTCTTGCCATACGAGTATAGTCCTCTAATGTCTGAAAAAGGACCTTGCTACTTCTACTTCTTGTAACGCTGAATCTTTTCCCTTTGCGCTTCACCTGCAACAGAACTCATGAGGCATCAAATTCTCCCTAAAGTTGTTTTCGGCTCCAGGCAAGTTGTGAAGAGCCAATGAGACACAGGAGTCATATTTTGCTTTACTTTGTAGCTTAATTGCTGGTAGTTCTATCCACAATATGTTGAAGCATTTCTTAAATAAAACAATGCAGAGCAGATCGAAAATAAGTGGCTGCATCTTTTAAGGAATTTGTAAGTGAGTCTGATAAATGCTGAAAATGGCCCTAGAGGAAATAAGATGAAAAAAGAAAGCAACTCCTACATTGCAAGATAATTAGCAAACATCTAGAAATAAATGAACTATGCTTCCTGGGAAATGGAGATTCGAGGTTTAAATTTGCAAATAAAAACTGATTTAAAAAAGCTCCAGTCATAGCTTCTAGAGGCAAGAGTACAATTCAGAAGGCTCAACAAGCCGCTGTGCGGTATAGGAAAACTAATGCCTCAAGTATTCTACAGAATACTTGCTGAAAGGGGAACCTCAGCCAGACACAATAAATTTTAACTTTGTTATGCAGCTTACAAAATATAAAACTTTTTATTCCTCCTCTCCAAAAAAAAAAATTCCATTGAATTACATGTTTTAAGGGCTTTTTGTGTTTTGATGAAAAGGGCTTAAGGGTCATAAACAGTTCTGATGTACACTAAATGAGCAGAACCTCTGAATCTATATGTCCAAACTTAAAACTCCAACTGTACTTAAAACCAGAAGTATCTGAAAAACATTTCCTCTCTCTTTATCTGCCAAGTCCTGAATTCAAAGTTCAGTGAAGGGAGTGGTGGTTTTAGATGGTTGAGATGTTGGCAACTATTGCAGGGGCAAACTCAGGACTTGGCAGGTATTTAAAGGTGAAGGGATGAAATCTGAAGCTTTTCCTGTGTTCCAAAGAAAGATGATGAATCTGAAAAACAAAATAAAGCTTACTATATATCCAAAAATAACCTAGTAGAGTTTGAATTCTGGAACTTTGAATGGGATTCTTTTTATGCAGTGTGACCACAAATATTAATGTCACACCAGCCAATTTGAACATCCATATTTTTGTAGCAATCTTTACAATCCTTTCCTGTAATGTCTGTCTTTCCTGTATAAAGAGTTTTCATTTTCTTGCTTCTAAAACAGACACCATGCATTATTTCATCCCTCCCGCCCCCAAATTTGGGCTTCATTTATATTTTTGTCACACTTTAAGGTACTCTACAAAAATTCTAATGTTTAAAAAAAAAAAAACAAAAAAAGTCTTGGAGATGCCTGTAATCTTTGTGGCATATTTTATTACCGGTTTTTCTTACATGTTTTTCCTTCAATTGTTTTAGTGAAGTTCCCTCCTAACATAGTGAATATCCATGTGAAACATCCCCCTGAAGCCTCAGTTCAGATCCATCAAGTTTCAAGAATCGACAGCACATCAACAGGACAAAAAATGAAAGCACCTCAGCCAGGACATCCACAGGTCTCTTACCAAGGTCTTCCATATCAGAAGACCCAGAAAGGACATACTACTTACACAAATCAACAACCCATTCCTCATGTGTTTCCTGTTTCAGTTAAAACTCAGCTTGGGCGCTGCTTCCAGGAGACTATTGGGACACAGGTAAGAAAAGATGAGATGCATTTGATATCTTTTCCAATAGAAAAATAATTTGAGAATGGACTGCAAAATGTTGTTTTACAAAATAACAATAATTCTTCTGTACTTCCTTCTCCATTCAACTAATGTTTTCATTTTCTGTGGACTTAGATCCTTGACTTACGGATTTCAGGTATTCTAGCAATAAATTCTTTGTTTACAAGCTAGATTTTCAAAGCAAAACAAAAACATGGTTTGAGCCTAGCTCCGTCTCTTGTGATTGAACTACTAAGGTTATGCTTTCCATAGTTTATACTATCTCCTGCTTTAGTGAGTCTTTTTAGATGGGCATCTCAACAGCCAGTACTTCGAAAGGGCTACAGTTTTCCCTGGAATTCTCATGCAATTTTGAATGTTTTACAGTACTGTAGGACAACTTTTCTATTGTGTTGAAATATGACCATTGAATGGAGTGGGAAATCATGAAAACCAGCAGAGGATTCACTGAAGCTTTAAAAAGTTTACTTCAGTTTAAAATAAAGTCTTTACTCCAAGTGTCTTTTACATATGCCTGTTCAAAATTGTATATGTTCTTTCAGCTCTTGAAATCACTTTAGGAGGTGGTGCAGTGTTGTTATTTTTACATAGTTGCATATATTTGTAACTATGCAGAGAGAAAGTAAATGAGGGGAGATTGCAAAAATGTTTCATTTTGGTCTTTGAGGTGGAGAGCAATGTCTGTACTTAAGCTTTTTTAGCTCTTCAGTTTTAAGATCTAAGGTTATCTCTTGCTTGTCACCTTGCCAAACCTAAATTTTTCAAACCGAAATATTTAATGATGGATATGTGCCTCAGGCTGAAATTTTTGGTGAGATTTCAGAAAAAAATCATTCATCTGTTTTGAGAAATGATGTTAGGGAATGAATATGTTGTTTTACTCAGGCTCAAAAAATTTTTACAACTCTTTCATTGAAGATTTGTATCATCTGGGTGCTATGAGCAAAAACTTGATACTTAGCCGAAAAGTCACTCAGCTTTTGCTCTTTCCAGCAACATGTACCCAAATTTGGCTAGTTCCCAAGAATCTAAAATGTTGGGTGTATTTCCAGTCTATTCCACTGATATTTGTTAGGAGTTGGCAGCTAAATTCTCTGGAGATGTCATGTGCCCTGAGCACAGTCTGCTTTTGCTTCAGAAAGATAGATTCTTTCATCCCTGAGTTGCGGACCTGGAACCGTCTGTCCTTTGCAAGTGTTTGTTCTAGCTGGGCATTTGAGCTGAGAGCAAGGACGTTTCCTCAAGTTACAAAGGCTCCTAAGCACAAAAAAGGGGGACAAGACTTCAGTGAAATGCAGAGGGCCAAGGAGCGTAGGAGAAGGATCGTGATGGGAGACCAGGAGAGCAGATGGAGTCGGAAGCAGGCTGAGGGTAACACATATGGCAAGGCCCATGGGCATCACAGCAGCTGCATTCTGGATGCTCAGATGCAAAACACAGTGCCTGAGTCTTTCCAGTCTGCCAGCTCCAAAGAACTCTGCTTTTTTTCCTATAAGATACTTCTTTCTATTCTCATTCTGGCAACTGGTTCAAGTGGACTATAGTAGTATCTCTAGTGATGTAATTAACTCTGCTTTTAAAAATCATTGATATGGATTTAGAGATAACCCAAATTTGCTGACACAAGAGTGTCACGTGAGTTTTTTTTATTATAGTTTAGAAAAAGAATAATTCTGAGAAGTGCTATAGGAGAAGTAAATTTAAACATCATCAAGCATGAAAATGTTTTTAAAACATCAGACTTAAAGTCTGCATATAAAACATGAAATTTAGTATTCACTAATTGTTCAATACTTAGCTTTGGGTCAATGGAATTGGTTTACAGTGATGAGGTCTTTGAGCTTGCCTCTTCTAGGAATAGGAAAAATTTTAATTTGTTCTTTGGGGGCCTCATTCTGGCAAGTGTTTAAGCATATGTTCAACTGGAAATCTATGGATTTTGCTCGATAAAGTGAATCAGAACACATGTCAAACAATCATTTCTGTGTATCTCCTGGGAATGAGGGATCTAGCAAACATGGCATTACCACATAGAATCATGAAATTCTGAAATTATTATTACAGTTGGTGCTTTATTAGTATTTGTATTTCTGTGTACCCTCATACACAGGATAAGGCCACACTCCTTCCTCAGAACCTTAGGAATGACAAGGCACTTGCCACTTCCAAGAAGGTGATGGGTGCTGCATCTTTCATCTCTTAATTGTTACAAATTTCCTGTCTGTTCTTTCTGTGCAGCGCTTGAGCCAGAAATTTTGAATTATGTAGCCAAAATTTGCAGTGTGCTCTGCAGGCACTTCTCATTACAATGGATTTCGAAACCAAGACCCACACACCAGCACACACTCACATGCTCTAATTAAGGGGGGAGGATAGAGGAAATCTGTCTACACTGACCTCATGCCTCACTGGAAATCCTGTAGGTGCTCAGTCTCCAATTTTTATGGTATTTTTTTTTCAATATTCTCATGAAACACTGTGTCTTTGCAGTGGTCTCAAGGAAGGGCAGTGCCTCCTGGTTTAGAATGGGTGTTTTCATTTTTTCCACTTAATTTGCCCTTTCAGTGTCAGTCTAGGAGGAGAGTATAAACGTTTTTTCAGGGGGCCTTGTTGTATAATATTGTAGAATGGCATTTCAGATTTGAAACAGAAATTTAATGTGCTTTTCCTGCAGTCAGACAATATTATATATTTGTATATTTTAAATATACCTTGAGCTGGGCAAAGCACTTTTTTAATCCTCAGATAGGTCTCTATTTTAAAAGAGCTTAGTTTTCTGTTTATTTGCTGTGCTAAATGTGAAGAATCTCTTCATTTGTTTACAGAAGCCGCTAAACTGAGCGTGCGCTATTAGTGGTAGTGAGTTACAACTCCTTTCTGGAGGTTATGATGGATAATTGTGGTATTCTTATTTAATCATCCATGTTTATACATTTTTTTGCAGGGTGGATTGTATAGTTGGCTTCAGCAATGTTTTATTAAATATTCTGGGATCAGAGGTCACTTTACTGTCTATAGAGCAGACTGATGGAAACATACATGTGTGGCCTCTTTTAGGGTAATCTACCAAGTTAACGACGACTTTGCTGATTCCCATTCTTACTCGGTGTTCGTTGCCTTCACCAAGAGTATCAGAACCTATACTGGGGGTGTGTGTACGGAACCTCTACCTTTTCTGGATTTCTTGTTTTTTTTTTTTTTTTTTTTTTTTCCTCTGCATCTTCCTCCTGTATTTCAGCTGATCTTCAAATTACAGGTGTTCTATTTTCTATGCTTTTGTTTTTTTCCCACACTGTTTCCTGGAACATTTTTCATCTCTCCAGCACATTCTTCCTCACCCCTCCTTAGCTAAATTCCTTTAATGTATCTCGTTCAAAAACATTAGTCCTGCTCGCATTGTGGGATGGATGCTGTGTTCAAATACCAAGACATCCAGAGCACAGTTTTTGCAGTCTGGTTCCAACAGAGCACTTATTGTGAGAGTCAGGAGCTGGAGCCATCCCAAACCAATGCTTGGATGGCACCGTGGTCCAGATAAGGGAAGAATCTGGTCCTATTCTCAAGCCTTGGTTCACTCCTACTTAGCCACGTAGAATGTCCTTCCTGCTTCATTATGTGTAATGTTAAAAGTAACTATAACCAAAGATGGAGACTGTTAGAATAGGATAGCAAAAAGGGAAAAAAAGAATTAATATAGCAGTTATCTTACTGAAGTGTCCTAGTTTAATGAAGACAGATTAACAGAGATGATGTATGTTTTCATATATGTGCCTATGCATATTGCTTGATTGGGACTGTTTTATGTAGTGTTCTCAGTACTGAGGACAGCAGTGGAAAGAGCAACTGTGGAAATGCAGTATTTATATTGTATTTTTTTAGAAAGTAGCATATAAAGCAAATAGTTATGTTATGGCTGATTGTTTTTTCTACCCAAGTCAAATGGCTTTTGCCTGCTGCCTCTCCAAGTGGAAAGCTGAACAAGTATTTCATTTCCAGGAGATGTTACAGTGTTTGTTCCATAATAGCTTTCCATGTTACGTGACAATTTATATGCAATTTTGCATAAAATTAGCATGGGTCATCAAATGCTTTCCTACTTCAGAAAGATTTTTGCATGGTATATCATAAACTTAGCATTAAGCTGCAGTGCAGAAATTGATTGTTGTCACAAAGATAGTTATCAAACCTTTACCTAAACTTGTACTTCAATGTGCATAAAATCTTCATGAGAAAATGAAGATTTGAAATTAGTGAACAGTTACAATGGAAACAGTAGGACAAAAATCCTGTTCATACCAGATGGAGAGCAGTAGGTTTGCTGACAACAGTGCACATTACAGTGCCATCAAAAGCTGGAGGTTGGACATGGTGATCTGCCAGGTCCTTTCCAGCCTTGTATTCTTGCGTTTCTGAAATCCAATGAGTCTGTCATCTTAGAGCGCTGATTCACTAAGCCCTATTTAAAAAGCAAGCAAAAAAAGAAGATTGTTTCCCCTCTTTAAATCCCTCCTTTGCAGCTGCTTTTCATTTTAATTCTAATAAAAATGCCTTTATTATGACACAGAACATCTTGTTATTTCCCAAAATACTTCTACAGTATCGGTGGTGCACCTAGTAAAGTTTGTGGTGGCAATCAATCCTGGTAATTTTGTGTGTGATGACCTTGCGTTTAAATTGGTATAGGAATGGAGAAGCCAAATGTATCAAAATTCATAGAAAGAGAATTAAGCTCCATGCTTTTTCCTCCCTTAAGTTCACTTTGAAGTCTCTATATTTTCTGTTTTCCTGTAGTCACTAACTTTAACTGTTTTGTCTAAAAGAAACCCTTATTTTTCTCAAAATTGGTTAGTGTCCTTTTTGCATAACTGTAAAGGCAGAGGAATTGTTTTTTTCCAAAGCAGCAAGAAATCAGAGAAGTTGGCACTTCCAAATTTGCCTAAAGCAATCCTGACTGGATTCACGAGTAA